CGTGGACATATCTAAATTTGTTCTCGAGTTATCGTGTACACCGTCAGGCAGACGGACAGACGGACGAACGGACTTAATGGCTTTATCGATTTCTCGTTTCATTCTGAGCATTCATGTATAGATTTGTCTATATCTATCGCGATTGTTTTTGCCTGTTACAAACAACCGTTATGTGAACAAAATTAATATATCCTTGTGCACAAGTGCGCTCTGGAATGAAAATAGTAGAGTTTTTATATCGGAAGCAGCAACAATGCAAAAAGCTCTGCGAAGCAATTCTCATTAAACTACTTTTGAAAATTTTCCACTGAAAGGTTAATACAAAAAAAAAATATATGTATATTAATGAAGATGAATATAATTTTTTATTGGATTGTTTTGCTTTGGAATTTTTGCCTTATCGGCCTTCTGTAATGCTCAAAAAATAAAATTCATCCCTTTATTCCCGGTCAGAATAAGAAAATAATTATGGGCAAAAATATTCAGATTGTAAATTCCTGAAACTCCAGTTCCGAACGAAAGCGGAGATCAGTAATACGACCAAAGTATAGAGTATCCTTGATTTGGAAGGTCATATTATATATTTCTGCATTTTTCAATAAAAAATTATTTCCATCCACGGATTATCTAGGACGTTGACGTGAGTAGAAATGAGTGAAAAATAAGTACCGAAAATTAAAAGAGTAAATTTTTATTGAATAAGTGATTCAACCGAAATTTTGGCAATTGCAATTTTTAAATAAACTTGCTCGCATTATGCGAGAGGGTTCATAGGCACATTGAAAATTATCTGAAAACTGCGCAGCATAATCATCACATTAGCAAACGACAGATTAACAAGTAAGAAAGTCTAAGTTCGGGCGGAGCCGAACATTAAATACCCGGCGCAAGTATTTAAAATATGACTTTCACCTTTCCGAAAGCTACCGCTACATGGTAAGCCAGGGCGTATCAATTTTGAGTAAATTAGCGTCCTTAAATTTCGAAATATTGCAGTTTCAAGCATCTGAAATTTACCGTTATATGAAAAGCGGCCGTAATTTTAGTCCGATTTCAATAGTTTTCAACGTTTTTCTTTTATGTGGCAAGCACAATAACCATACCGAGTTTGGTACAAATTGGTAGAACGGTTACCGATATACACATATGTGATCATAAGTGGGCGGTGCCCCGCCCTTTTCCAAAATTTTACCATAAACGTATTTCTTGGTTAAGAATTGTTGCAAGCATCAATTTTGAATAGATTAGCTTTAATATTTACTGATTTATCGAAGATTTTGTATTTCTCTAAATTACCGTTATATGGG